TAGCCTTAACTAACCAGTGAATTAATCCTCTGATAGGGATTAATTGAGTGGTAATTGAAGTAGTAGTGTGTGGCTGGAGGAGTGGGAATTGGGAGCATGGCTTTTGGGTATACATTTGTATCTGGCAAGTAGATGCTTCTCTCTCTGCTTCCTGATCACCATGGGAGCTGCTTCCCTCTGTCACGTACTCCTGCTATGATGTGCTGCCTCACCTCAAGTCTTGAGAACGGAGCTGGCTTTCTATGGACTAAGACCTCTGAAACCATGAGCCCTCAAATAAATCTTCCTCCTCTACAGTTGTTCTGGTCAGATCTTTTAGTCACAATAGTGAAAAAGCTGACTAAAACAAGGCCTTTGTCACCGAAAGCAGCACTAAGCCTTGGTAATTTCATACAGTTAAGGGGAAAAAAGCATATTCTCTGGTAGAGAACATTTTAATTAACCCAATAATGAAGAGAAAAAAAAAAAGATGGACAATGTCCTCTAAGAGCATCAAAATGAGTATGTAATAGTGGGATGGCAAGTTTTGTTTTTTTAATAATTTGTTTCAGTTGTAGTTGGACACAATACCTTTATTTTTATGTGGTGCTGAGGGTGGAACCCAGTGCCTAGTGCTGGCGAACTCTCTACCACTGAGCCACAACCCCAGCCAGCAAGTGGGTTTTTGATGCCCCATGACATAAAGAAATCGAAGTAGTTAGTACAAGAAGTTAATACAAGTTAATATATGGTATCACATGTTAAATTGTTATTTGATTCTGAAACAAATTTTTTAACAGAAATTGCCTTGGGAAAGCATTTATTGAAACCTAATCTTTTTTTAAAAAAAAATCTAAATGCTTCAGTTTGGTTCTATGTACTCAAGGGAAAAAAAATGTTCCCCTTAAATATCACTAGCAATAAATTCCAACGATTTCAAAATTCTTTGAACCAAGAATAAGTATTAGCCTGAGTTTTGAAAATCACAAAACTAATAGAAATTGAAGCTTCGGTTTAAAAGTGGCTCTGTGCCTTCATGAAAGCCCAAATATAGGAGGAGAGTGAAGAAGTTCCACACCAGCCTATGACTCAGGGGCCCCCTGCAGGGAGCCCAGAACACAACCCTCCTCCCACACACACACACACACCAGGACACTCTACCACTGCTCTGACTTCAGTCCACCAAAAGAAGGACAGTGGGCCCAAGGAGAGCTGTTGAGGGTCTCACTTTCTTTTTTTTTTTTTTTAAGGTAATATTTATTTATTTATTTATTTATTTATTTATT